ATCCACTGAGCCAAACCGGTTTCGGCCAGCTCTCATTATTTTGCTGTCACTTTCGTCTCTGGCCTCAGTGTCTGCTTCATGAACATTAAACAATAGTGATCTCGGTTTACTGGTTATCCGAGTGAATCGTCAGGTGAAAGTGCATGAACTGGTCAATTCTGGGCATGTCTGAGAGGCACGTACTCAGCATCTTAACACGGCTGAGCACCTGCTGCATGCCAGGCCCTGTCTTTAAGCAGCTCACGGACAAAGGGTGGAGATATTTCTTCATTAACTAGACTTGCCTGGGCCCATCCTCTGGGAGCGGGAGCCAAAGGGACAAGTACCTACGACTGGCTGAGGTCACAGGCATTCGTGGCGTGGCCTGTGCCGGGTGACAGTCATCTCCACGTGCTGTACACCAAAGACCATGCTTTCCGAACCAAAAGTAGGCCCCCTGGCTGACAAGGGACGGGGGCTCTGGGGACATGGGACCAGTGTCGGAGTCAGCAGTGCCCTGGGGGTCCAGGTCCTGGGGATGGAGGGCAGTGCCTGTGTCAGGAGGAGGAGCATTCCCTCTCGGCTCCAGTGGCTGAGGGCAGCTGGGAACAGGCAGGAGTGGGCTGACTGGCAGGAAGGAGGTGAGGGCATGCCCAGCAGAGGGCCTGGGGGAGGGGAGCCTGCAGAGCCCCAGGGCTTTGGTGGCACCCACACTGGAGCAGTGGTTCGGCCCAGAAAGGGGCAGCCAGAAGCTTCAGGGGGAGGAGCACCGGACGGCCCTGAAGAACAACTGCCTGCTCCCTGGAATCTGGGTCCCGCCCTCCTCTTTGCCACAGTTCCTCCTACTCCCCTGGAATCTACGTGCCAGCGAGTCTAAACTACTTATCCTTCTCCAAACACACGGTGCTATTTCATACCTCCCTGCACAGCTATGGTGCCCTCTGCCTAGAAAGCAGACTCCATCCATGAAGACCCAGCTCAAATGTCACCTCCCACTTGAAGCCTTCCTTGCTCCCACACACAGCTTCCCACAGTCATATTCACGAATATCTTCTGTAGGTGCCTTCCTGACTTTATCCTAGGCAGTCCTCACAAGAACCCCTGATCCCATTTTACAGATGTGGGAACTGAGGCACAGCCAGGCTAAGTAACTTGTGCCAGGTCACTGTAAGTGGCAGTTGAATCCACCTCATTCTGCCTGACTTCAAACCCTCTGCTCTTTCTGGAGAAGTCAGAGAAGTGGGGGGTGATGAGTGCCGTGCTTTTGGCTGGCGGGTGGTGAGGGTGACCCCTTGAAAACCACTGGGAATCTAGGGTGGATGAAGTGTTGAGGGAGAAAAGGTGGGTTTCCATGTATCATTAGGGGGGTCTGGAAGGATGAGGGCAGAGATGAAGTCACAGTTGGGGCCGGGGGAGGAGGAGATGGGACTGCAGAGCAGCAGTTGTGGAACCCAGTTGAGCAGCACAGCTGGGTGAGCAGCTGATGGTCTGACCCACCAGTGCTGCAGCTCCAAGAGACTCCATCCTAATGGGGTGGGACTGTCCCAGGCAGGAGGAGCCCCTGACATTCAAAGGATGAAGAGCAACTGAAGAACCAATGAACAGCTGCTCATCCTATATAATAAAAGGCTAATATGCAAAT